GCCCCCCACCACACGCCACTCCCCCCCACCCCTCCCCCCCCCCCCCTCCACCACCACCAACAGCACTCTGCTCAAAGCCTTGTTCAGAAAGCTGTCTTTGTTTCCTGAGGCGGCAGCCAAGAAGGAGTCCAGTCTGTGTGCGACAGCTTCATCTTTTACACCTTACCTACTTTTGGCAGATCCAAAAAAAAAAAAAAAAAAAAAAGAAAGAAAGAAATGACAGAATAAAAGTCGTCCCGTCTGCAATTTTAAAATGTCACTTTCTCGCTCTCTCTCTCTCTCTCACTTGGCTCCTCTCTAATAGTCTGGCACATAATCCAAAAATAGCTCTTGTATCATCATGTTCTCATGTCATGATCAAACACGGCAGCAGACAGCCGTCCAGACGGAGCTTCGTTTTTTTTTTGTACAGGAATATTCTCTAATATATACAGTACACAAACTTTCATATTTTATTCAACAAGACCAAAAAGAAAAAAAAAAACAAGTCTAATGAGGCGTTGGTGAAAAATGTCTGTAGTTACATTAGGAAAACTCAGACAGACAGTAACCACACATCAAATGTGAACTTGTCATCTGAAGACGTGTCACACCAGCGCCACCTGTCTTTTCCTGGCACTTGTAAACCACTTTCTCTTGGCAGATCTACGGCGAGTGTGTGATGCAGATGTAATTATTGGGGTTTTTTGTATGTTTGTCTTTGCAGCAAAGAATGATGAACGAGAGGAACAAGTGATTAATATCCGACCGAATATGAAAGTACAGAAAATGGCCCGTGTGATTGGACGGTTGCCTTGGTCCAAGTAAGCAGACCAGGCACTGGAGAGGAACAACTTTACTATGTTTAGAAGTGGCCCTGAATTCTGATTGGTCAAGACTAGTGGCCCTCAAACGGTGCCAGATTTATTGTTGAATTGAAAGGGGAAATGTTGCGTTATATTTGCATGTATCTTTGCTGAGCTCCCTGACCGTTTGTGTAAAACAGTTATTCTAGTTTATGGTTCAACACAACACAGGAAACATGTCATACATCTGTGAGCATCAGTGAGAATTCCGTCGCTCTCATCACTCTTTATGAACTTCCGCTCATGTGCAGCCGACGCCTCGGTCGACAAACTGATGAGTGAGAACGTCGTCCCCTCTGTTCGTCTGGGGCCCACACTCATAGGTGAAGACTCTGAACTGTGTGTGAGGCCTGGAGGGGGAAGGTGCGAAGGTGATGAGGCACCATGCTATAATGACTGTGTGTGGATGTTTGTTGTGTCACTGCACCTTTAAATACCGTTTATGGAACATTCCCAGCTGTGCTTCTAACGGAAGATGTCTGCGATGAGGAGCTAAGAAAGGTTAAATAAATAATAATAAATAAAGTAAAATAAAGGGCAGTATTTTTTTTCCTGTTTTCATTTTATTACAAAAAGAAGCTAAATTGGGCCGTTAGCGGTCGTGACAGAAGCTAGCGTGAATTCATGCTTTTCATTTTTGCCGTGGACAGGGAGCACGGGAAAAGCGTGTAAATGAGAAAAATGTGCAATTAAAATGACATGTATATACTCTCACATTTGACCGCGCTGCGCTGCAGTGGAGTCTGATACCGCTCCAGAAGCAGAGTGGGTCGTCCACTAATTGAAAGGTCAGTGGATCGATTCGTAGCTCCTACAGCTCGCACGTCAGAGTATCCTTGGACGAGGCGTTCAAGCACACATTGCCCTCCATAATGCAACATCAACGGGAGCCTGTGTGTGTGTGTGACCTGCAGCATGAAGCATTTTTAAGAAAGTGGTGTGTTTTAACTAGGGCTCATTCCATTTCGAGTGACAACAAAACACAGAATCGCTGCGACCGTTGGAAAATAACTTTGCTTTTTCATTTGAGGCAAGGGCAATAACGTGAGCCACTGCTGCTCTGGGAGTGTGATCTACAGCAGCAGCAGCAGCAGCAGCAGCAGCAGCAGCAGCTGCAGCCCCGTTTCGTTAACACCACGGACCGTGTTTGCTAAAGTAACACTCAGAGCTGATCTACAATTCTACAAACTCAGCGGTGCCCTTCGAACCCGTGCGTTTGTCCTCTCTCCTTTGCAGGGTGCAAGGAGACGGCGACGCTCACTTGGCGCGAGCAGCGATGCAGAGCGCAGCGTGCAGCCAGACAGGTAGTGTAGAGTGTAATCTGATAAAGTACTAAATCTAGCAGGGGTGCTTCATGTCGACACAACTTGATAGGGGGGGGGGGGCGAGAGAGAGAGAGATGCTGAAGGAGGAAAAAGAAAGGAGAACAGCAGACTGAACTTGACTTTGACCCGAGGGAAGGAAAAATGGAGCCGTAGAGTCTCACATGAGGAGTTACTCAAGTGATTTTCTCCACTCTTAGCTTTGATGCCGACTTTGACACCTGATGTTCACTTGTCATGTGCAGCAAGGAAGGAAAATTACTTTAAAAATTGGGTTCCACATCCTCCCCCCCGTCCCCCCTACCCCCTCCCAAAGGAAACAAAAAAAAAAGATTTTCAGATCATTTTGTTTTTCTACCAATTCTCTTTTTCTGAAGTCTAGGAGTTCTGGCCTACTTCTTGTTTACAGAGACATATGAGCTGTCCCTGGTAATGTTCTATTAGCATGGACGTCATTTAATCATTAACATTTTATCCAAAATGTTGTCCTTGTTATAGATTGACTTTTTTTGTTATTTACTCGACATATTGAGACAGATTTATTTACACTTGCTAAATTGTGATTCGCAAAGATCTAGCCATCTCTGGCTATTAGGAAAATTGAGCTAAAATTGACTTTTCTTTGGCCAGTTTTTCATAATCCATTCTATATAATTTATTTCATCACTGACAAACTACTGTATAATCCTACATTTTTGATTGGCATCTTACAGACAACGCAACATAACAATGAATTATTTATGGAAAGTACTTCAGAAGCGAGGCTAGAAAATGTAACTGTTTATTTTCCAGAAAAAAAAAAAAATCCCCCAAGTGTCTGCCGTTCTGTGATACTCGTGTCAAACTAAGTGTATGTGAATGCAGACCATCACGTCTACTGTCCTGCTGTTGTCCTCAGGTCATCTGAGGTGTGGGTGAATGTGGATGAGTGAAGCTGCAGTTTGCCCGGTGCAGGTGCCGGAGTGCTGACAGGGGGAGCCGTTTCCTCAGGGAGTCTTAAAAAAAATGACACTTCATCTCTGCTCAGATGAGTTTCACAAACACATTTACATCCCTTTGAACTCAGATCCACCAGTTTGATGACAATTTACTAACAATCTGACGGGGTGTCCCCCAATCTTGTTAACTAGCCCCAGATTCCTACACACACACACACACACACACACATACATATTTGTACCTTCCTACAGTTAGTCCTCATTATTTTATTTGTCTAATATTTTCAATCTGGCAGCGACATGACAGGTCTTCTCTGACAATAATTCTTATAATAAGACACACGATGAACAAAGCTGCAGAGAAAACAGACTGTACATCGTCATAAGTCAATGTCCACGTCTTTGATCGTATTTCTTTCTTACTCAGTTACTGTAATAAATCGATATAATCATAGTTTATTTTTATGGTTTGCAGAGACGTCCTCTAGGGTTGGCAAATGAGACTGAAAATAATCTGAAAACTAGTTCCTGGTTGATAACGCTTCTGTGGCTGCACAAAATATAAATGGATTGAATTAATTGATTAATTTCGACCCAGAAATGTGACCAAATACATTAATGTTGTTTTGCTGCAAGGAAGGAAGTTGTTTAACAACAACTTTTCCACAGTATTATTCCTTGTTTTCTAACTATGCCTCTGTGCCTGGACAATTGCTGACAACGATTTGTTTTAAAGACTTGGTCGATGTGTGTCTGTTCTGGTTTGAACTTATTGATCAGATCTCGATCTGAAGAGTGAAAAATTTGACGGCCCCAGGGCTTCTTGTTGTGTTGCTACGTCTGGAGCATTAATTTTGTTGATGATCATAAAAAACACTGGCTGGAAAACAAAGTAATTTCTTGGACTTGACCCACAGGAGGGCAGGTCTTTATAGTTTGCCGTAGTCCCATTAGATGGCAGATCAATAAGAGGAGCTGTAAAGGCTTCAGAGTGTCAAAGGGAAAACCTACTGTCACTGGACATAACACAGAGCTGGGCCCTGTGTTCAAATTGCTGTGCAGTATGTGACCACAGTTTATTACACCCCAGCTCTTTTTTTTTCACCCTTCATCTCTGGGAGGAGGAAAGTATGACTTTTAGTGTAATAATCTATAGCATGACATTTAACAAAAAACCTCAGGCAGAGCTATTCAATCTCTCCCAAGTCTATAGAGTAAATCAATGCAGAACTGTGAGGTGGTACGAGCGAGTGTGTAGATTGGAATAGGTATTTCCCAGCAGGCCTTTCTCTCCCAAGATAAATCCTCTCCTCATTTCTCTGACTCAGTTTTTTTGTCTAATTTTTTTTTTTTTTTGAGATGTAATCTTTTTTGTTCATGGGACGCTGAAGCGTGATAAAATCAGACGATCAGAGACACGTGAGATAATACAGTCCCACAGGAGCAGTGTGTGAGTCGCTGTAATTAAAAAAGTGTCTGAATGACAGTGGGGCAGCGGTTTTTATTCCATCTGTCTCCACCGGGTGCGGAGTTTATGTCAGCTTGTTTTTAGCGATCTTATCCTCCGTAGCTCAGCTCGCAGCACGTCTGCAAACAGGCTTAATTAAAAGAAGGCCGGCCACATAAAAGCTCTGGTGACAATACCCAGAGAAAAAGCAGGACTCTGGCCTGAAATCACACCCACCGTACATATTTATATGTGACTCTGTGTCGCGGCGTACAGTATGTGTATGTGTGTAGTACTACAGAGACAGCAGTACTCACAGATGCAGAAAGAAACGAAATACATTTTCTCAAACTCCAAGTGAGATTTTAAGTTTTCTTAGCTTTGTTTCGCACAGATCACTTCCTGTGTGTGATTAAGGTAAAGGTTAGCGGTTTTAATTAGCTGGATTAGCTGGAGTGGTTCAAGAAGGTTGAGTTTACAGGTGAGTTTTAAATTAAGGCTTAGGATTTTTATATTAGTTTTAAACTGTTTCAAAATATGTTCACTGCACCCCCTGCAGGGAAGAAGGTGGCAACTACACACTCTCTGCTTGTAAACAGTAACTGAAAATGAAGTGAATAATCACAAGACCCTCACCGTCATCGCCGTCCTCCAGGATGTTGACTTTGCTGCTGGGGTAGTGCTTTCCCAGCCGTCCCCCTACGGGCAGCGACAGAGTGACGTTGAAGCTCTCCTCACCCTCGTACAGGGAGTCGTCGATGATCACCACGCGACACTGCTTCTCCCTCTCGTCCTTGTCGAAGCGTAAAATGCTGCCGTGCTCCTCCGGACGGGAGATGTAGTCGGAATAGGAGAGGACGGTGGTGGGGATGGTTCCGGTGGCAGAGCCTTCAGAGGGACACGGAGAAGTTGATGATGTTAAACATTAAAAACCCATTGAATTAGTCAAAGGACATACAATTACAATGAAATGGAATCAGGAAACCTGAGCGCTAATGGTTTTTTAAATGTGATTGTTTTTTAATGAATAGGTGGTTGAACTCCTAGAAAAAAAAAAATGAAAGAACTTTTCCATTGGAGTGAATTAAAATTCAGACCGTTGAAGAGAGAATAATGGATTTTAAAGAGAATGCCTGGCCTTTAAATGACAAAGTGCCATAGGGTCAGTCATTTGATAAGTTCTAATCGCTGACCTCGCATTCGAAACGACCGTAGTTGTCTGAATGCAACGTCAAGACTCAGAACAATAGTTGTCTGAATGCAACGTCAAGACTCAAAAACAGAACAATAAAAAAAGTCTGTCTGCATATTCAGTCTCACAGGAAGTCATTTTTTAAGGGATTATAAGGAGGAACTAAACTCCTCCAACGTCAACATAAATAATAAAATATAGTTTGACAAAACATGAACTAGAACATGAAGTGTTTGTGCATTTTTTTTCCACTTTTAAAATTCATCAACTTGGCCCGATTGAACTTCTACTGATCTTTGTAATTTAGAAGAACATAAATGTGAAGTGGAGGCACCGCTGTGAACAGTGCGCATTAAACAAGTGAAGCCGCTTTAAACGGCGGGAACGCTGCCAGAGCGTTCAAAACCTCGTCTACAGATTTGTGAAAGAACACAAAAGAAACATCGGGGGTGGATCTACTGTAAGTTTTACGGTAAATGGACTCTCGCTGTTTGGTTTGATTGCAGAAACACTGAGCAGCGATTAAGTCAGAGTTATAATGCAATTACATCGCTGAGGTTTGTTCACACAGCAGTAAAACCAGGAGATGTTTCTCATTAGGATTATCTGGGAAGAGTTAAAAACCAATTTTCCATCAATGCCCCAGACTCCTTAATTACACCTGAATTGAGGCAGTCAATTACCACCAACATGTGGAACACGCTTTAATGAGAAATCTGGACGATTTATAGGCTAACCGTTCTTTTAATTGTTTAGCAAAATTGTCCCTACATCGCTACCTGGAGTTATTTTTTTTCGTCTTTTTATTCGCTCGTTAAGTTGCTGTTAGTTGTAACTATTTTTTTCAGCTACTATTTTGCAGTCAGTATTTGTTAAATTTTGACTTTTTTATATCAGTTTTGGCTAACCAGATGTTTGGCATAACAAACATCCAGCTACTTTTATTTTTAGCTTTGTTATCCTAGTTTTTAACACTTTTCGTTTTCGTTTACTAGATTTTAGCCAGCATTATTAGCTAGCTTTTTCCATTGTTTATCTTTCTTTTGTTTTTGCCTTTTAGCTATATGTGGCTTGAGATATCATTATTAGCTAGCTTTTTCCATTGTTTATATTTTGCTAAACTTGTCTTTTCTTTTGCTTTTGCCTTTTAGCTATATATGGCCTGAGATATAGTTGTCTTTAAGGCTGATTTTAATTTATTTCAAAATATTTCTCAGCTATTTCTGTAACTATTTCAGCACAGAGAAACATAATTTTTAAGTTAGCTTTACGCTACCACTTAGCTTTGTAATCCATGTTGTTTTGGGCCTACCTATAAATGTAGCTATTTTTTAAATATTTTTTTGTTTTATTATCTGCTGCTGCGGTTACATTTCTTTTTCAAGAAAAATCTAAAAACTGGAACACTGAATAGAAGTGTTAATTGCATTTGTATAAAATTGAGTTAAATCACAGGTGTGACAGGAGGAGCAGTTGGCCTCTGGGTGTTTTTTAATATTGCGGAATGTGGTTTGGTGTTGAGAAAAGAGCAGACACTCCTGTCATATTCAGTGTGACCACAGGAAGCAGCAGGCAGGAAAGCAGGCTAGTCTGAGGGTGAGGAGGTTGTTTGAGGTGAGCAAATCCTTGTTCATACCCTGCTGAGTGTAGCAGACCACCATGAGCTCCTGGCTGATGTCTCCGCTGCGGTGCACGGGGATGAAAAGCTCGCCAACGTCTTCCTCCACTGAGTGGATCTGCTCGGGGAAGAACACAGTCGACTCTGTTTGGGAGGAGAGGAAAAAAGAGCAGAATGTTGGGAGTCAGAGAAGGGTAAAAAAAAAATGAAGAGGAAGTGACATGTTCAATACCAGCAGGCATTAGTTCTTCATGGACTGATGACACCTTTTGTTCTGTGGCTACGCTGGCTTATCTTTTAATTCATATTTTATATATGAATATGAATTATTATAGAAATATTATATATAATAGCATTATAATTATATATGGTATATATTTAATTTTTTAATTAAAAAATAAATAAAAAATAAATTTTTTTTATCATATATATAAAATATACAATATATAAAAATACATATATAATAATAATATAATATATAATTATATATAAATATTATATAAATAAAAAAAAAATCATATTCAATAATCTGTCCATCACTGGTTCACTTTTCAGTTTGATGCAACCAGAGGTGATCTTCAAAGAGACCCTTCCGGACATTTTTCCCTTCTCTTCCTGGCGTGTCACTGGACATTACACATGTGAGCCTCTCCCTTCATCCCACAGAGTGAAATCAGCTGGGAGTTCTGGGAGTTCTGGCGTATCGACAGCTCCGTAAACTCGGTCGGGGTCAGCTGATGACACCTCGTTTTTTTTTTCTTCCGCTCTCTCTCCACTCCACTCCACTCTTAACGTCTACAAGCAGAGTGTGTGATGGAGAGAGTGGCTGAAGAGCAGTGAAAGCCCCATCTATCAAAGACAAGAACTTACTGCGGTCGTAGAAACAATAAATGTTGCAGCTATATTACAGCGACGCACGGGGACCAATAAAAACACAGCGTGGACCGAGATTCAGCTCATGCCCCATCTTCTGCTGAGAGCCGTCCTCCTCCTACTCTCCTTTAAAGTGAGAGAATTAATGAATGAGAGGAGGACTTGGACTGAGAGGCACTTGTGGCTCAGTGGTGGAACACACTGCTGCATTAACACCATCAAAGCAGTGGGAAAAAAAAAGGAACAAAACTGGGGCAGTAATGACCAGGTCGACACCTCTCCTCACATCATGAGGCCATAATATGATGGAAACCCGGACTCTTGGAGACACCCTGAGGTCACTGCTTTTACTGGTACGTAACCTGTGTTGTACAAAGGTAAGAGGCTTCGAAATGGCAGCAGATGGAAAAGAGAAGATGAAGAAAGAAAAAAAAAACATTAGCTGCTGTTAAAACCCACAGAACAAAAAAATAAAGAGCAGGAAGTGCTCTCCTGCCTTGACGTGTCTACACTGACTCTACTACTTGTTTAAAAAGAAAGAAAAGTTTGAACATTTTCAAAAAAAAAAAAAAAAGAAGCACAAAATGGAAAAAGGACGACCATCTGAAGTCGTCTTTAAAATGTTCCTTGACTTGCCTACCAGAACAGTGTGTGTCTAAAACTAATGGTTTTCCAAAGAGGTGACTGCTTAGTCATTCTCCATTCACCAGAACTAAAAAAATGTTTTTATTTAAAGAAAAAATGTGAGAAAATCCAACAGCTTTTATTTTTGTACACTGACGAGCGCCGACTAATTAAATGTTCAAAAATCTATCCAACTGCAAAAACAAATTCATGAGTGAATTTCATCTCACGCCCTGAGTTTCAAAAAGGTCAGTCTCCGTCTTGATGTTTGTGGGATGAAGTCGTCAACAACAGTGTCAGTCTGCGACAGTGCTGGGGGTCAAAGGCGTCTCCTCTCTCACTCTAACTCCATAAATCACCGTTCTATTGCACAGCTATTCCTGCTTTTCCATTTCTCTCCTCTTTTCTCTGCGTCCCTATAATACACCACACCCCGGGGGTTCAAGGACTCATAGCAGGGGATTAGACTCCGCTTACCTTTCTACACACACACACATGCTTGTAACGTTATCCTTGTCAGGACACTGCAGAGGATTCCATCAAGTGAGGACACACTGGCTCAGCATGAACTGACCTTTGTGCAAATAAAAAGACATTCACCTTCTGACTGAGGGACACGTATATACTTTATAGATGAAATGGAGGGAATACATATATATATATAGACATATAAACATATATATTTATATATTCCCTCGCATCGGTTAAAATTAAAAAAATATTGTGCATCAAGGCGTAAGGAGTAGGCTGTATACTAGGCTAAAATGTGGCCCAGGGATAGGTCTTATATGGCCCACTTTTTTCTCTGAGAAATGTAAAGATTGTATTCTTGGAATTATTTCAAATTCATTTTTAGTGCTCACTTTATAAACCGTTTCCTTTGACCGTCTCATAAAGCTACATTACTGCTTGCTTTTTCATGTTTTTTCTCCTTATAGCGCACCATTCCATTATATTTAAAACATTTTTTGACATTTTAAATCTAGCAATTTCGAGCCCTACTTTCAGTGATTTTATACATTTTTTGATATATTTTATATTTAAATTCTTAGCTTGCTCAGTGTCTGGTCCAATAGCTATGACATTGCCCAGTGTTTCTACTTGCATTGATATTAAATACATAATAAATAAATTTATATTATTTTTAAGTTAATGTTTGACTGTCATGTGTCTTCACTGGACCCTGATCTTCCCTGGTTCCTGCTTCTGTCTCTGTTCTCTCACCAAAACCAAACTGTGAAGACTTTCTTTCTTCACAGTGAAACTTTTTACTTTTTTTTACTGCCTCAAAGTTTTTTCCTCCTAAAAGTTCAACCAAGACGTAGAAAGATAAATTTGTTCCTCCTGGACACAGTTAAAAATTGATATGGAGAATAAAAGGAATAAAATTTGCAGCTAATGGATATGTACCTGCAAGTTGGTCTTAAAAAATGAACCAAAGTGGAACAAAAATAGGCTTTAGCTTTTTGTTCACCACCAAAAAACTGCTCCATTATTGATGATCTCATGAATAAAATACGAAGCAGGGACATTTTGTTTTTTTCTGTTTGGTGCTTGTTGTCATGGACGCACAATGTCCCAAATCAGGGGAATACAACAGAAGAGACTTGAGCAACACCTCAACGACACTTACGTTATACTTGAGCAACACCTCAACGACACTTACATAACGTAAACATGACGTTTACATAGTTTTAGGGATTTTAATGTCCACGTCTAACTTTTAAACATGTCAAGGCGAGTTACTCTTTCTGGAAAATAATTCCAAAAAACACAGTCACATTTTGTATATAAATTTAAAGGTGTTACCCAAATTTATCTTAACTTGCCAACGTACTAAATATTAGCCTATCACAAGATCAACTAATTGAAATTGAAACATTTCAGGTCTCTAATCTTGAAACAAATGGTAGATTAAGATTGGTAAGGTTAGGAGAGTTAAAAAGTGTGTTAAAAAAAAGAGAATAAGAAAACAACACAACATCGACCAAAATTAGGTAAATTAGCTAAAGTAGCTAAAGTAAAAGAAATGATCCAAAATACCCCATCCCCAAAAGCTAATAAAAAATATTAGCTAATGTTACCGCATATTAAATATTAGCTAATGTTAGCTTATATTAAATATTAGCTAATGTTAGCTAATATTATGACCCTATGACCAGTACTAAAGCCAGGCAGGAATCCAGGGCATTTCATATCACGACGTTAACAAATGATGTTGCTAACTGGACACGTGCTAACAGATAGACGACAGACGAACCGTAGATCTTCACAACCACAGACGTTGGTCATTAGAGTCTTTCTGTAAAGTGAGACAAAGCTCCTGTGAAACCACAGACAGAGCGACTGCATCTGGCCTTGTG